CTTATTATCATAGCAATACTTCACTTTCACTTACAATGTATTTCTTTCTCTGTTGCATCCAGAGGTCAAATACACCCTTGCTGCGGACACTGAAAACAGGAAGAATAATCTTAAAACCAGGGCGGCCTTCATTAACTCCTCCCCTGGCAGTAGCCATGAATCCTCAGGGACCATCACTTTGGACAAGAAAGGAGTGGAACAGTGCATTGAACGACAACTCGCCTTGCAGGTATCGAAGGTTTCTGCATTCTCTCGCGATCCAAGTTAACTGCCGGCGGCGCGTAATGCTTTGTTTATGTTGTCGTGCTTCAGGAAAATATTCGAGACAAGCTACGTGGGATCCCCATTGATGTGTCTGTGGAAATCATTGGTGGCAGACGTAAACGCAGACAGAGCTCGGGTCCTGGGCTGCAGCCGGTCCTGGATGCTAAAGCGTCGCAGCCAACTCGATCAGTGGTGTGTGCGCGCATCTTATTCAGTTTATGTGATGTCTCCTCCTATTCTGTGTTATTTCTTAAATGGGAAAATGTTGTTTGCAGGTGGAGTTCATGAAGACCGGTTGTGGGTCTGACAATGTGTGTCAGAGCAATCTGAAGATGGAATATAACTATGGCCACTGGAACGATGAAAAATTCATTCCGCTACCAAAGTAAGATTATAAAAACACTTTTCTTTCTCTCGTTTTCTTCTTTTTTAAAACTTGATTTAAAATGCTCATCCTGAGATGCGTTCGCCACACTGTTTCCCTGCACCGAGCTGTGAAAGATGTGCACACTTCATCAAACGGGCTCACGATTTGTGTGTGTTTGAAGGGAGAATGATGTGCCGGTGCTCTCACTCAGTAACCAGAAGGAAATCGCCTTAGAGGTCAGGGTGAGCAATGCAGGTGGGGATGATGCGTACGAAGCCTCCATGATCGCTTCTTTTCCTAGCTCCTTAACCTACTCTGCAACCCGCTTGCCTAATAAAGTAAGTGTGTCTGATACTCTCTCTCTCTCTCACATACACAGACACCCACTTTAGTTCTGATTTGGACTTATTATTGATTTCAGGTAAACTGCCAAGCCAATAAAAATGGTTCTCTGGTCGATTGTGATCTTGGAAATCCCTTTGAAAAGGGAGAAATGGTGAGCGAAAAATCACAGTTTGGCACCATCTAATTCCCCTCCACATGTATAAATATTAACACTTAATAAAATAATAATAAGAGCACGGAATAAAATATGGATCTCTGTATGTTTATAGACCACCTTCTACATTATTTTGGGTACAGCTGGCATATCTTTCAACATCTCTGAAGTAGAGGTTAATCTTCAACTGAAAACGTAAGTACATCCGAGCTTGTAATCCTGCAGCCCCAACTGCTAAATAACACTGGTTGCACCTGCAAATGAAATAGCTACACTACTGGAATATAACAAACTTAGTTTATGTATGTTAGAATAAAATTTGTAGTTTGATATCTGTGTAAATATTGTTTCAACAGGACTAGCATGCAGCAATTAGCGCCGGTCAAAGCAAAGGCAAAGGTGGCCATTGAGTTACAGCTCTCTGTGTTAGGGTAAGAAACACACGCATATACATAAATGTGCAGGAAACACATAGATGTGCACCGACTCATGCTGGCTACTGTGTATTTTTTCTCTCTGCAGACAAGCCACGCCATCTCAGGTCTACTTTACGGGAGATGTCAAAGGCGAGACGGCCATTAAAACTGAAAGTGACATGGGCAGTGCCATCACACATCACTTCAGAGTGAGTACAGGAAAAGCAACTAGATCGTTCATTTATTTTCCTGAATTTATCGTTAATCCAACAATTTTGTGTTCCGAACGGGGCGAGTAAGAACATTTCAACTGAAATTGTACTACTTCCTGTTTTTACAGATAATCAACTTGGGAAGGCGTTTGACTGATTTCGGGGTCGCCACTCTCGACATTGACTGGCCAAAAGAGACAGCGGATGGGAAGTGGCTGCTTTACCTGATGAAAATCACTACCACGGGAGTGGATCAGATACAGTGCACACCTAAAAGTGAGATTAATCCTCTTAAAAAGGTAAAACGCCATGTTAATGTGTCATCGCCATCCTCCCATGAAAGAATTTATAAATGTATTTTATTTTGACAAGATGTTGAGTTAATGGCAATAAACTAAATACATTTCTTTTCTTATTTCAGGAAGAAGTTAACACAAGAAAGAGGAGAGAAGTCTCAGGAACACAAGGGAGTGATATGGGCACTATTTTAAGCTTAATTGATAGCAAGAAATCAAAAACTCTGGTAATGCAACCTTTTGTTTGTTCTAGACTATTACATTATTTTATGCACCTTTCAGCCAGCTGAATGGGCATTTGGCAGTAACTTTGCACTCCCTTGTCAACAGTCTTGTGACGATGGGGCAAAATGTGTGACGATAAGGTGCCCTCTGCGGGGCCTGGACAGTAATGCAGCCATCAGTCTTCACTCTCGCCTCTGGAATAGCACCTTCATCGAGGTAAGTGGTTGTACTCAGTTGTTATCACTGGATTTGAAAAAAGGAAACCCCAAATGTTTTTCAATGGCAACAGTGTAATCTATATTCGTTATTTAATCTCAAAAATAACAGTTGAATTATGATAACATGGGTTGATACAACTGTTATTGTTGACCTCAAGACTGCAGTTTTTTACTAAAGGGCCCAAACCATCACACCACCAGCTGCCTGACAGCGTTACAGTGTTAACTGTCAATATTACATCCCCCAAAAAGTTCAGTTTTCCAGCTGTTACTGACTTAATGTGGGAGGTTTTTTTCCCTGCTGGTGGAAATTTAGAAATAAAGAAATAACATATGGGTTTCAGGGGTTAAAGCATCTTTATTGACATGAATCTCTACTTTTGGATTTCCTTTGATTTGATTCACCTTTTCTTTAAACAGGATTATTCCGAGTTACATCATGTGGAGGTGATAGTCAACGCTGCTCTGCACCTTGATAACATAAAGAATACCGTTCGGATGAACGCTAATACACAGGTAATTGAACATAGCGGCAGATTTTACACAGTTCTGTGCACCCTCTAAACATAAAGCCTGAGGTTTTGTACAGTATACAGAGAACACTATGACATCACGTTTTGCCACTTCGCTGTGTTCCCTAGGTGAGACTGACGGCCTTCCCAGAGAGGCGTGAGGCTCGGTATGGGGGAGTGCCGTGGTGGATCATCGTGCTGTCCATCCTGTTCGGGCTACTGTTGCTGGCCCTGCTGGCTTTCCTTCTTTGGAAGGTAGGGCTAGAGGAGAACAGACCCTATCCCAGTAGTCCTACGTTTTACTGATAAAGCCTTCAGGCTTAAATCTGTGAACGTCTAGCAGCCTGTGAAGCACCTTGTACAGAACAACTGTCACTATTTATTATAGCGATTGCACATATTTTCTAATAATTTGCCTCTCCTCAGTGTGGAGTCTTTGGGAAAAAGAATAAAGAGGACCCGTCAGACAAAGAGAGACTGACACCAAATGCATAAAAAAAAAGAGAAAGAGGGTAAAATTACCCAGCCTATCATGACTGAGTGAAACCTTTTTTGTCTTGCTCCTCCTTGCTGCAAAAGTGCTGCTTTCTGGTACCAGGCAGGCTGTGGGCAATTCTCACACTGTGATGTGCCATTTAAGAAAACAAAAACAAAGTGTGTATTACTACATGCATGGCCAGGGGAGGTGATGGCTGATAAGCAATGACTGTTTCTTAAAGCTCTGAGGAGGACTCGGGGTAACTTCTGCATCTCTTTGATTTCATCCCCTTTTCTGTCTCCAGTTTGTTTTCTTGCTATTACACCTGCGCTCACACGGTCTGAAGGTTTCTTTCACTCTACATTTAAAAACGGGGGACTCTGAACACCTTTTTTTCCTGTACAGAGGAGCGCAGATGGCTCATCTACGCCTCTTACGGGATTAATTGCATTTTGGCACCTGTGAAAGAGACCGATGACAAACATCTCAAACCGCTTGGCTTTCTCTGAACGTCTTTAAACGGCCTCGTTCTCAAACCGAATACTGAGTTTTGTTTTCCCTCTTTTCTCTGCAGTGTGGCTTTTTTAAACGTGCCAAATATGAAGATAAGGTTCCCAGTTACAACGCAGTTCGGATCAAACGGGAGGAGAGGGCGATGAATCCTGGAAATGCTAACTGGGAAAACCTGGAAAAGAAACCCTGGATGACAACCTGGCATGACAATGAACACTATTCTTAACAGCCAATGAAACACCACAGATTTACCGTCGCTTACGGATGAACTGCAGTTTCATAAATTTCCTGCTGTCTTGCCTTTGTACAGTGAGGACTGTAAATAGTCAAGTGTTAAAAAAAAAATTCTGACGGCTAAAGAAATTCTGATGGCAAAAGAGCCAAACGGGACAGACAAAAAAAAAAAAAAAAAAAAAAAAAAATACGGGGTCAAACATTATGCTTCAGGGGCTGATTTGATGTTTAATAAGTCTTCATGAATCACTGGAAGGAGATGCGCTGTGTGGGAGATGGTCCAGCACCACAACCATCGGAGCTTTGGTGCTTGTGTTGTGGAAATTCAGTGTTGGGGTTAAAAGGTTTCTGAATGTATTGCACAATTTTTTTTGTACGTTTTGGAAAAGTTCGTATTTATTCTCACAAGGAGTTTCTTCTGTTACACGCTCTACAGACCAAAGAATCATGCAGTGCATACAAGTGACTTCTTTTTCCCTTTTTTTTAAAAAAAAAAAAAAAAAAAAACTAAAGCTGTATTAGCCTCCAATATTTTAAATCTACCACACATCTGCCTTTAAAGTGCCTCCGACTGACAGATACTGCAGTTTCTCTACAGTATGAGAACTTGGGCTGTAAATATCCACTGTACAATTCATCTTTGAAATTACTACATTGTAACAAAATAGGAGAAGCCTGACAGCAAACAAATAAACTTTTTTTTTTTTTTTAAATATCCGTGTTCCCTGGGTGTGATTACACTGAATGAGCATTAGCAACAACAAGATTCTGAAAGCATTATTTATTAAGACATAAAAAACCCCCAAAAAAAACCAACAACATGTACAGCAAATACTTGAGTGCTGAAATCAGCACTTCATTAAATATTAAAGGATAAATTATGACTCAAGTTTAAAATAAAATAAGCATACTGTAATACAGTTAATTCACACTTAAAGGAATACGTAGCAGACAAATGCTGTGGCTTTGAACCTTAGTGCTGATTTGAAGACTAATGGTCTCATTCTTAAAGTCTACGGATGTGTTCAGTTGATCTAGACGTTTCTATTAGTTCAGTAGAAGTAAGTGCAGTTCTGATTGTGAGAGACCACAAACACACACACACACTCATGCTGGTGGTGTACATCTCATTTCATCTCCGTCTTTCCTTCACAGGAGCGACTCTGTTCTTACAGTTTTTCCACTGCGTCTTTCGTCTTTCAGGGGCTTCCCCTCGCTCATCATCCTTGACTTCTCTTTGCCGTCGCTGTCCACGTTTTCTTTATCCTTTTCCTCCTTCAGCCTCTTCGCTCCTCTCCTCTGGTCCTTCTCCTCTCTCTTCCTCATTTCCTTGAGCTTTTTCTTCAGGGCAGAACGGTCGCTTTGACTGCACACGCCCAAAGCCTGATAACAAAAGTGTGTGTTTAAATGGGGGACTAGTGGATTTGGTACACATGCAGTTTTGGACCTCACACAGGAAACAGACTTCACATTTAACAAGAAGCAAGTTTAAAATTTGTTGGTATAAAACCTCAATCACTTGGACTACTTTGTATCAAGGCTACCCTGTTGTGATTACTAAGAAACACTGCAACCAGCATGAAGAGCAGAGGTTTAGTCACCTTGCCCACAATAAATCGTCCTATATAGTTACACCACAACACAAAACATTTGGCTCCTGCCCCCAACAGCAGTAGCTCATCTGCTGACCTTGAGTTTCTCACTGTCCATGTTGAGAAGCTGTGTCCCATCCACACCCCTGGCGGCAAACTCTGATGTGTATTTATCCATGTTCATAGCGATTAACCACAGACACACCTGCTGGTTGTTCCACTCCAAGACGGGTCGACTTTGCCACTGATTGTTGTTGTTCGTGGGAACTGGGTCATCGTCCAAAGTCTGAGGGGCATGAGAGAATATAGCAGGAGAAGGAAGCTATGATTAAAGAGATTAACCTCCTAAGACCCGAACTCTTCCACAGCATGCATTTTTAATTTCTTTGATATTTGGGCTGATTGGGGCCCAAGAACGTCAAAACAAAGAATTACCAGATTTTTTTACCTTATTTTTGTTTTTAAGAAAAGAGCCACATACGAGGATATTTGTTTAAAATTTGGATAGAACAGTAGCAGTATAATGTCCTCGTAAGTGGATATCAGGCCCTTGTAGAGCAAAATTGAGTATTTTGGTCTAAATAACCCAAAATGTGATGTCCACATATGTGGATGCCAGGTCCTAGGAGGTTAAAGAGCCTGTGTGTGAAAGCTGGACGGAGAAGGCCCAGGGGGTGGGGGGGGGGGAAGCAAAGAAAGGGAAGGATAGACTCACCTCAGTGGAAGAAAAGGTGAAAGTGTGAGAGTGTCCAGAGAGGGAGTGATCAGACACATGACCCACCATACTGGAACAGCCCACTGGAGAGCCAATACTCTGGAACCAACAGAAATGAAACTGGGGTGCCTAGATAGCTCATTATCTACTGCATATGTACAAAAGCATGCGAGCCAACTTTAAATGGGGTTTTGTTTGTATGAGATTGCTCTACGTCAGAAAGCTGAGGCAGGAAGAAGGGGCCACGCTGAGAAGGTTGTGGGTTCATTTTCTTACCTGCTGTCTTCTCCCTGAGGTGGTCAGGTACGGCAAACTGCTGCTGGATACAGACCGAAGTCTCTCCCGCCTACTCTCCCCTTCCTCTTCCTTTTCTCTTCCTCTCTCGCCGAACCAAGGAAATGGCAGGCAAGAGGGCATGGAGGTGACAGAGCCTGATGGAGAGACTTCAGCAGGCTCATCCAACAGGTCAACACTGGATGCCCTGGAGAAGAGCAGTTATGCCCTCATTAAAAACGTATGCACATTTTTCATCTTTGTCAAGAGCAGTAGTGTTCAAAACAGATGTTAGGTTCACATCTTTAAAAACATTCTCCCCCACCCACCCATATTAGTGTCACCACACCTGTTGCTCACAGACGTCCTGCTGCGTTTTTTGCTTCTTCTTTTGCTGAGAGACTTGCGAAGGCCACTAAAAGAAATATTAAATAAGCTTTAAAGAGTAAATACAAGAAAAAAAAAAAATACCACCAGCAAAATTTCACTCAGTGCCACATTCAGTATGTTTGGCAAAACCATCAGAACTCTGAGGCTGAAGAGCAATTTAAGGCTTTAAATTTAGAAAGTGTGAGCCAAAATAAAGAGCCGCCACCTGAAGTCGGGAAATTTCCTTTTCGATTTTCTAGAGGTGGAGGATTTGCTCGGTGAGGACGGGGTGGTATCCGTGATGTAGATTGGAGGGGTGAAGACGGAGTTGTTTGCAGCTTGAGGACTGAAGGCTGGGAATGATGAGGTGCTGGACATGTCGCTTCTACTGGTTCGGATCGCTGTGGGTGCGGACAGTGACCGTCCCTCTTGTGTTTTCAGGGCCCCTTCTTCCTGTAGTGAGAGAAGACATGATCACAGCTAGAAACTGCATCTCTTTCACCCCCGATTCATTAATTAAAAAACAAAAAAACACGCGAACAACAAAACTGTTCCTTACCTCTTTTCTGAAGCTCTCTCTGAGTTTGTCTCGTGAAGGTGGTTGGCGCTTGGATTTCTGGGCTAGCTGAGCCCTGGCTTTGTGAGCGCTGGAGTCTAAACGGCTGGTATTAGGAACTGGAATCGACCAGTCTGTGCCTGAGACAAATGCATAAAAGCCTATTTAAATTAAATAATTTTCCATACTGAAGTTGCATTAGACAACTCAAAAAGCTTCGAGTTCCTCCGCTTCTGAAGCTAGAAAAATAATAAAAATATAATTTATCATCAGTAATATGTAGAGCCAGCTGCCGAGTCAAACAGACATGCAAAGACACTTCACTGTCACCAAAACTGATGCTCACCGGTGTTTGAAGTGTCAGTTGAGTGGCTCTTTCCCTCAGATACTGGCTCTTTTCCCTCTAGCTGTGCAATCTGTGATACACAGTGAGAAACAATGACTACAGAGAAATGTCAGGATCAGGTAAATAAATCCTCAAAGCACTGAAAAGCCTCCACTCACCTGGATTTGAAGCTTTTCAATCATCTCTCTGTGCTGCCTCTCCTTCTTCTCCATTTCTCTCCTCAAATCTGCCTCCCTTTTCTCCCCCTCTTCCTCTCTTAAAAACCACATTAAGTCACATGTAAGACACCTTGGTGCAGTTTTACTAACTTGCACAGCATGCTCACCAGTAACACTTTTAGGGAGTTAACAGGATTTCACGAGTACCTGCTCTGGTATTCTCTGACCAGTCTCTTGGCCTTATTGTATTTGATCTCCAGGCTTTCTGATTGGCTCTGGGCATCAGCCAGTCGCTGGCTTACAACTCTGCACAGGGTCTGGGCCTCTTGCCAATACCTGATAAACAGAGTGGGATTCATTAGCACCTTATCAACCCACATCATAATCTTCATTGTATTTATCAACAGTCTCCAATTGCAGCCTTTAATCTTCATGCCTGCTCTGGTAAAATGTTTTTCTATTCCATACGCTCTAGAAAAATATCACAAAAATGGGACAACGCATTGAAGCTGCTCAACCGTACTTCTCTAGTTTGTCTGCTTTGTCCTCTCCATCCTCCACTTTTTGCTCCAAGTCAGCCTTCTGGCTCTCCCAACAGGCCTGCTGCTCCTCCCAAGCCTTTAACTAAGAAACAGACAAAACTATATCTTTATGCAATGCAAGCATGTCATGTGCACAAGAGGAAAAAAAAAAATGTCTTCCCAAAATAAGGGCCTTCATGTTGTTAGATCATATGCGTCAAGACACATTTGTTGGAGAAACGACACACTTCCTCTTGCTTTATTTGTGCCATCAAAGCTGTTGAAGTAGTCAAAACTCAACACAGAAGAAAGAATTCTTTCAGAATGGCTTTCACCAACCCAGTTATGTCACAGTGGTGATTACTTCAAGTCAAAGGCAGAAAAAGCAGGGCTTGACGAGGAGTGCTGGAAAGCAGCCATGTCCTAATAACTCCACTCTGTGCCGTCTCATACGCAGTTAAATGGGTCAGATGCTTCCAAATTTGGATGCGAAGGTAGTGTATTGAAGTGAGTACAGTCATTGGTTTGCGAGTGAGAGACTGAGAGCCTCAACCTCAACTGAGTGACCTACCTGTTCTTTAGTGTGCTCAAGTCGGGTTGCTTTGCTTCTTAGTTTGGACTGAAGCTGTAAGCACATTCAAGAGCAAATTCATGAATAAACCTGGACATATTAACAATTACAAGAAAGAACACAGACTTTCAGCATTTCTTTTAGTTTTAGAATATGAATCCAAGCTAAAACCTCTGGTTGAACACAGAGTACCTGCTGGTATTTGAGGCAGAGCTGGTAGTTGTCTAGACCCGAAAGAGCGGACACATCCTCCTCTTCGCAGCCGTCATCCTCCGCCTCCTCTTCATCAAACACCAAGCCCTTCTCTGATATGCTGCAGTCATTGTCCTCCACTCTTCTGCCATCTCTTTCTCTCTTCATATAGAGACAGACACACACACGCACAGTTAAATTGAACAGAAATAGTTCAAACAAGCCAACCTCCCCCACTTCTACAAGAGGACACACCTTTCTGCTCTTATCCATTTCCAGGCTTTCATTTATCAGTCGCGCCACCTCGCTCTCCACCCCCTCCTTCTCTCGGCCAATCAAAAACCTGAAGGAAAAAGACAAAAAAAATTTCCCAGAAATCAGACACAGGTGTGATCAATCACTCCATCTCACCACACACCTGTGCAGATTGTGTTAAATTGTGTGTTTTACAGCAGACATTCTGGATGCTTTTTTAATTTGCAGACTCATGGCAGATCTTTCAAACACTAAAGTGCACCTGAGAGAGACAATTAAACACTTATGTATTCTTTGTCTTTCATCAGCTGGTGAGACATATTATCGCTGCACCCCTGCAAGTCATAAGCGGTGATGTTTATGAAGCAGGATTTGCCATTTGGCAGCTGTGCCCCCTTGCTTCTCACTTTCTCATCCTCACTAGGAGGAGCTATCCCACTTTTCAGGTGTCACCAATAACATTAATGATGGCATGACAACTAATGCCAGTCAGCAAACACAGATAACAAGTGCAAAAGTACAAAGGCGACCCCTGAACTAAAGCAGCCGACTGGGAACTGATTCGTCATTATTATTTACTACCGGGTTCTTCCTGCTGTGGCGTGTCAATGTATTCTGAGTGTTGGTGGTACGCTGTCATCGTACCCTAGTATAGCTGCAGGCGCTGACTGTTTTTAAACATGCTCTAAATGTCGGTGCATTTACAGACACTCAGATTATCCAAAAATGTTGGATGCGATTTATAAACGTTGCTTCAAAGTTTATATCAGAAGAAAAACCCCAAAACATTGCGGTGTGCAAAGACAGACCACATGAGGGTGTCATGAAGAGGAAATAATGAGCTGATGTGTTCATTTCTGGTATTTAAAGATTTGCCAGATGACACCCAAAACCTACAATATGAGGTGCTCAAGTGTTTATTATAAAACAAATAAATTTAAAAAAAAAAAGCTTTCTATTAGTGTTTTTCATTATGATCTGAAGGGCTGACAGACAATCCTGCACACTGTGGCAGACTTAAGAAAATCTTAGACAGTACTGTGAAGAATATATTATGTGTTAACCAAATTAAACTTGCAAATACAATATCACCCTTATGATAAAATACTAAAAATATCTGAGAAGACTTTATTTATAGCACTAACATTGTTTCATCTTTATATAACTTTTAGACATCTTAGGAGGCCCTGTCACTTATCTTTGCACATTATTTTTAAAGTGGCATATCAAAGAAGTGCACAAACACACTTTTATATACCGTTTACCAAAAAAAACGATGTTGGAGTCCGCATGCTTTTTTGCGCCACCGACCGGTTTAATGTCAGACAATATTTTCACGGACCGGCCTTTAAGGTGTCGCGGATAAATACAACAAGTAAAATGATACAACCAAGACAAAAACTGTGGTATTTTGTAAATATAATAATAAAAGCAAATTCACTGTGTAATTGTGTAACTTTATTAGCAGCGTCCTCCTGAAATGCGCCAACAACATTGAGAGTAACGTCCTCCTCTCTGCCCCTTAGTGCTCTCGGGTTGCTATGGTAAATATTTCTTTCAAAATAAGACACAACTACAACACGGGAAAAGACCCAGGGAAACCGAGTTAACTATAAAACCCCTGAAAACCATAAATTTCATATCCTAGTCTCAACTCTTGCGGCCCAGTACCAAACGACCCACGGACTGGTACCGGTCCATGGCCCGGGGGTTGGGGACCGCTGGTCTAAGGTAACAGCAAAAATACACAAAGCTGTTCAACATAACAAGAATCAGGACGTGTCACAAACAAGAAAACTTGCTGTGTGGTAACTTACTTGACGAGACCCGATGTGTTCTTAAGGACTGTGGCTGCAAACAGCTGGGAGACTCCAACTAAACTCACTGCATCCACCTCCACTATCTGGTCATTCACCCGAATCCTTACAGAGATAAACACATACAGACTGAGGAGAGTATCTACCTTTATCTTGGTTTTATTCAGAGAAAAAAAAAAAGAAAGACACTAAAGCTAACCTTCCATCCTTCTGGGTTGCTCCTCCTTCAGTGATTGTCTTGACAAAGATGCCGAGTTTTTCCAGTCCCTGGTCAGCACCTACACCCATCCCAATGATGCTGATGCCGAGTCCATCTTCACCTAGAGGGTATGGGGGAAAAAAAAGGTAGTGAAGACATTAGGAATTTATCCTTACATTAGCTATATTAACTTCTAAAAATCATTAGACGTTTAACAATCAGAGGAGAGAGGAAAAACAGATGCTCATACAAACCCTTTTTTATCTCCACTGGAAAAACATCCATCCTTTCCACTCTCTTCTCTAGCTCAAACTCAGCCGAAGCAGACACTGGGTCAATATCTTCATTGCGTCTGTCATACTCTGCATTAGAATAGGTGTTGTACACCTGAAACACACCATTCATCATGCAATTAAGGCCTCAACTTAGATTAACATTGATGGCAATTTTAGGCTAAATGAAAATGCCTGGTTTTTTTGCATTCTTATCTGGTGCATATGTTCACTGTGGGCTGACTAGAAAGAGAACCATCTGCAGCTATTGACACAACAAGACCCTGTTTATACAGACAAATGTGGTTAGTGCGAGAGTCGGCATCGGATCGAGTAAATGCAAAGACTTGAGCAAACTGTACCAACAATTACAGGATTGCAAAATATCTAAGTGTACACACACAACTTCCATGTGATATTTACTGATGCCACACTGACCACTGCTACAGTAGTTTGTTATAAATCGATCCAGATTAATGCCACGGGATCTTTTTCCGGTGTAAAGGCAGCTCTGAGCCGAGCGCTGACAGAGGGAAGCGTGTGGAATCTTGTCTTTCCGCCTCTCTTAATGGATTAGAAACATTGCTTTGGGCTAACACCTCGCTTACTCAGATTCAAATAGCAGCTGGAACTGACAGTCACACAAATCTACGACAAAAGAGCTTCTCAAGTGCATGACTTTACAGACCTTGCAGCTTTCAATAAAATGAGCAATGGTAGCTTAAAGCCTGCAAACCCTTAAAGTTTGCGTTATTTTTCACAAAGGTTTCCCTACCTTGATTGGTGCCGAGCAGAACTTGACCTTCCTCTCGGCAGATCCATCCTCATTCTCCTTGTCGGAAAGTTCAGGCACACCGGGAATTTCCTCATACTCCAACAAAAGCTGGTTTTCCAACTCTTGTCTTGGCGGAGTGGAAAGCTCTGGATGGGACTGGGATTCCTGATCATATGCAAAAGCCTTGTTCTCAATGCCACTGATTAATGTCTCTTCTTTTTGGGCCTCCTTGCTGCCTCCTGCTTCAGTGTTTCCATCACTACCTCCTCTTAATGCTACATGCTTGACCTCCTCAGTTGCAAACTCTGCTTGCAGCTCAGGTGTTCTGCCTTCTTTCTTCCTACTTTTCTCTTCTTTCCCATTTTCCTTTTCTTGACTTTGTCTACATTCCTCCACTCCACCTTTGCCCTTTCCCACAGCCTTGTTGTAAACTTCCTTCTCTTGCACGATGACCCTTTCCTTCCCACCAGCACTTTCTTCTACCACTGCATCAGTCATTTTTTCCCTGTTGCCTCCTTCTTCTGTCGACTTCTCCTCAGCCCGTGCTACGAACTCTCTGTTCTGCTCCTCCCTTCCACCCTCCCATTGTTCACTCACCTGCAGATACTTGTCTCTTCCAACTTCCCTGCCATCCTCCGTTCCTCCTTTCTCTGTCATGCTCCCTGACAGCTCCTTCTGGTGGTCTCCTGATGAAATGTTTGGTCCAACATTTCGTACTTGTAATACCACCCTGTTTTCCAATTTGTAAGGTCCCTGTGTTTCCACACTAGGCTCCTCAAACACATCATCCACTGAGGACTCTTCACCTGGAGCTATACTAATATATGTCACTTGATCCTTAATCCAGCATTTATTCTCTTTCCACTCCTTCCCTTCTTCATTCTCATCACTTTCTGATGACTCATTTTTTATGCTGACCAACTCTGCCCGAAGCGTCTCCTCAGGGGTCAAGCAGGGGTTAAGACAGGATGCTTCTCCCTCTGTTTGTGATACTTTGATTTGATCGTCTTTGTCAAAATAGTTGTACTTGTTGGATGCATCGCCAGGTATATCTGAGACGGGGGATTTAGGGCACCTTGTCAGTGAAGATGGTGTAGAAGGCTTCAGCAAGGAAACATTTATGATATGGTTCATGGATTTGTCTTTGTCTAAGCCATCCTCTTCTGTGTTCCTCCTTTTCCCATTTCCCTCTTCCACCTTTTCTACATTGTTGACTTCTATTTTCCCATCTTCCATCCCCTTGCTTCCCCTGGCAATCAGGGGTTTTGAAACCTGGCCTCCACCACCTCCATCTTCCATCATCTTGCTCTCAAACAATCTTCGAGTTACAGAGAACTTCTGTGCCAGAGCAGCTCGGTCAATATCTGTAATTTCCTCCGCTCTGGATGGTTTATCTTTCAGGGAGGATTCTGGGATAGAAATATTTGTTGTTACAGTGCTCAGAGCAGATGAGGAATTGATGACTGAACACCTGGATCCAGGAAAAGGTGAAGTCTGGAGCTGTATGCTAGGATTTGGGGGAGAAATAAGCACTGTGGAGCCAGAACTTGGCACTGGGCCGCTATCTTGTTTCAACTGCTGGCTGTCCATTTGAAGAAAGATGTTATCTCTGATTTTGGTCCCCCTGGTGCTGTGGATTCTACCTCTGCAACCTGTGCTACCACTGGTGCTGGTGCAGGACATTAGGGGCTCTGACAGGCTGGACTCCAGCTTGTTAGGGTGCACAGCAGAGCGCTGAGCAGCAGCAGCAGATTTGGTCCCTGGCTGTAAACTGGTCCCAGTGTCGAATGAGCATTTGATAGCATGGAAATCAGATTTGTAAGTTATCCTGTGAGGGGAGGCACTTCGGCCTTTGCTCTCTGTCCGCATCATTGGAAAATTTGGAGGTTCTCTGGCTAAGAGAGAAACTGTGGACAATCTGAAATAGATGCTTTTCGTAGCTAGACAAAGCACCTGGGGAAAGGCAAATGTTTGAAGACTTGCTGGTACAGTGAAATTGTTGCAATAAGGCAAGATATTCTTGACAAAAGCTGGTGGTTTACAAGTTTACTGCATTTGTGTGATGACAGCAAACATTAAAGGCAGGTTCTTGGTCTGGGAAGTTCATTGTCATAAGGTAGACTCCAGATTCTTCAATTCATTATCACCACCACAGTGAAAATCTCCTGAAAAGCACATTAAGAATATCTCAGTAGGCGTACAGTGCAAACAAACATGAAATAAATAATACCTTTTTAGGTGCCTCAAAATCTATAAAGCATCGCTCTGTCCTTAAACCCTTGAATCAAAGAAGAAAACAAAACCCTAAATCTCAGTTACTGACTGAGACAAACTATCCAGTGCCAGGATTAAGAGCAACACATTTTTAAAAAA